CTAGGTTCTCCAGAGGAGCAAATCCAGTGAAGCATATATACATATAAATATATAGAGGAATTTAATACAAGTAAATGGCTCATGCAGTTGTAGAAGCTGGCAAGTCCCAAATCCGTGGGTCAGACGTCAGGCTGTAGGCTTCTTTTGACTCATATGGTTTCAGGGGCTGACAAACCCTAAACCGGCAGGTCAGATGGCAGGCTGCTGGCTCATGGGGCCGTGGGAGCTCGCAAATCCCAAAATCTGCAGGTCAGGCTGCAGGCTGCTGGCTCATGTCCCAAGAACTGGAGGTCAGAGGATGACAAGTTAGAGGCAGGATCCAGAGAAGGCAAGCTTTGCCAGAATTAGATGCAGGCCATACCTCCAAGGAAACTCCCCTTTCAACTGATTGGCTGCTCACATCAGATCACAAAATGGAGGATGATTACATAATATCTGCCAAACCACTGAGAATCATGGCTTAGCCAAGTTGACACACAACTTTAACCATCACAGGGACCAAGGGCCATGGAGGGAAAGCTTAAAACATGACATCCTTCACAGAGCAGTTTCTGTGGCCAATACTCCAGGCCAATGGCTAAAACTGAGCTCAGTGCCCAAAAGGAAGCTGAGGATAGCATGGAAAGAGCATGCACTATGCATCTCACACCCTAGTTCAAATCTAGTAGCCGAGCAAGTTCCTTAACCTCTCTGTGCCTTGGTTTTCTCACCTGTAACATGGGTGTTATAAGGAATGAATGAGGTAAAATATAAAATGCCTTGCATTTAATAGGTGCTTAGTAAATGGAAATTCCCTTCCTTTTTTTCCAGGTCATAAAGGATTTCTGGAGAGGGAAGGGACAAGGTCCACTGCACATCCAGCCAGTTTAAGCTGGGAAGATTTTCCAACTTCTTTAAGGCAATGAAATGCATTTTGTGGTAGGGAAGGAGAGAGTGAAATGTATTTTTAGACACACTTGTTGTTGTTATTGGGTGCTATCGATTCAATTCCAATTTGTAGCAACCCTACGTGACAGAGTAGTGGTGCCCCATAGGGTTTCCTAGGCTGTGATCTTTATGGAAGCAGATCACTAGGTCTTTCTCTCACAGAGCTGCTGGGTGGTTTGTGCCACCAGCGCTCCTTAAAAACACACACACTTGATCCCTTTAAAAGAAAGTATCATTCATCTGTCCCCCACCAGCAGCACAGAACTTCAGACACAAAGGATATTCCTTAAAGGTTTCCCAAGGGCGAAGCTGAGAACCATCTTTTCACAGCTAATGGGCAACAGTTCAGACTCCTGTGTCCTGTCCCTCCACTTCCTGTGTAAGCCTCTCCCTTGTCCACACCTCCTGTTATGGATTGAATTGCGTCCCCCCAAAAGAGTGTGTCAACTTTGCTAGGCCATGATTCTCAGTATTGTGTGATTGTCCACCATTTTGTCATCTGATGTGATTTTCCTGTGTGTTGTAAATCCTACCTCTAGGATGTTAATGAGGCAGGATTAGAGGCAGTTATGTTAATGAGGCAGGACTCAATCTTCAAGATTAGATTGTATCTTGAGTCAATCTCTTTTGAGATATAAAAGAGAGAAGCAAGTAGAGAGATGAGAGCTGGCGGTGGGGGTGAGGGTGTAGGGATCTCCTATCACCAAGAATGAAAAACCAGGAGGGGAGTATGTCCTTTGGACTTGGGGTCCCAGTGCTGAGAAGCTCCTAGATCAGGGGTAGATTGATGATAAGGACCTTCCCCCAGAGCCAACAGAGACAGAAAGCCTTCCCTTGGAGCTGGCGCCCTGAATTCAGACTTATAGCCTCCTAGACCGTGAGAGAATAAATTTCTTTTTATTAAAGCCATCCACTTGTGGTATTTCTGTAATAGCAGCACTAGATAACTAAGACAACTTCCTAACCCAGCCTAACTCTCCCTAATAGCCTATCCATCCTAGAATGGGTGACAAGTCCCTAGCCACCCGGTAGGAGGGAAACTTGGGTTTTAGTCCACTTCTGCTGTTAAATAGCTGGCCTCAAGTAACTGATGTTACATCTGAGGCTCCTGCAACACCAGCTGTAAAATCACAGAGCTGGGACCACAGTGGGGTTTTGATTCATGCTCCAGATAGCAGCACAGGCTCTCCACTTCCAACAAGAGTGATAAAGATAGGGAACTTAGGAGATTGGCTTGGGAGTGAGACAGACTTGGGTTTAACTTTGTCACTTACCAGCTGCCCAAACTTGGGCAGGATTCTTACTTTCCCTGAGCCCCAATTTCTCATATATAAAATGGAGCCAATAAAGTTACCTATTTTTTGGTTGGGAGGATTCAGTGAGGTAACGTTTTAAAAAAGCTAAACCTTGTGCCTGGCACTAGAGTGCTCAATAAATGTTAATGTTAATGGTTTTTATTACTGGAATGGGCTTCCAAATAAGATGTCATTTGAACTAAGATATATATATAGTTATGGATCGAATTGTGTCCCCCCAAAAATTAAGTTGAAGTCCTAATCCCAGGAACCTGTGAACGTGACCTTGTTTGGAAATAGGATCTTTGGAGATGTTATCAATTTAAGTTACCATGAGGTCATACTGGAGTAGGGTGTATCCTAATCTAATCTGAATGGTGTCCTATAAAAGAAAAGAGCTGCACAGATGAGACATATAACAATGGAGTTATGCTACAGCTTCAAGCCAAGAAACACCTGGGGCTATCAGAAGCTGAGAGAGACAAGAAAGCATCTTCCCCTTGAGCCTTAGGTGAGAGCATGGCCCTGTTGACACCCTGAATTCTGTCTCCCAGCCTCCAGAACTGTGAGACAATAAATTTCTGTTCTATAAGCCACTCAGTGATGGCTTATAAAATCCCCCATTGATTTCTCTTCCCTTTATTACTTCTTCCCTCCCAAAACTAAGCGGCCTCTTCTGAATCCCATTGCTTCTTGTTCCCTATCTAAATATAACATCCTTTGGTTTTAATGCAAAAATGGGAAAACTAAGTATACCAAATCAGAATTTAGTGGCTTATAAAGTAACTTGCTAGGCTGACATTGCAACCCCCACCACCAGCAATTCCAAGGGGCCCTCAGTCCATCAAGCCACTGTATGGGGGAAGCAAAGACCCTCAGTCAAGGCCAGTCATCCTGAGGAGAAGGGCCCGTCATGGCTGGAGGCTGGACTTGGGGTAGGGCTCAGGGAGGCTGCATTAGGTCAGATCTAGGAGGTGGAAATTTCCTGGGGACCATTTGGAGAAAAGGGGGCTGGGGGATGATCTGAGGACCCCCGGAAAATGTAGGATCCCCAAAGCCTTTTCCCTTTCTAGGTACTAAAAAAAGAAAACGCTGTTGGGTCAATTAGTACAAAAGGAAAAAAAGATTGTTATTGAAATAAAATAAATACACCAAATATAAAAAACACACCAAAATGCTAGCACTGGTTGTGTAGTGGTTGATCTAACAGAAGAGTTTTTTGTAACTATGGTCATATTGCTTGTATGAAATTTAAATATTTGTATGTATATTTAAAATCGATTAATTGTGCTTAGCCAAAAAACAGACAAGAACCCAGAAAAGTAGCAAGCTCCAAGCTCTCAAAGCAAGATCATAAAGAAGGAAAATAAAAATGTCACAAACTTCTGCCTCCCCATGGCCACCCCAGACCCCTCGCTGGGCTTGAAGTTCACTGAGATCCAGCTTAGAGGACAGCTCACCACATAGCACCAGGCAGCAGTGCTGAGCAGGAGGAATGAGGATGACGATGGGAGGTGGACTTCTCAAGGAGCCCTTCCTGAGGGGGACTTCCAAAACCCACCTAGAGGACTAAGGTCCTTACCTACCAGCTGTGGTGATGCAGAATCACCACTCCATGGGAGTCAGGACACCTGGTTCTATTTCTCTGCCACTAACTTGCTGTGTGACCTGGGACAAGTCAGGTCACCTCTCTGGGCCTCAGTCTCGTCATCTGTAAAATGAGGGGACTTGGTTTACTTAAACCATATGCACCAGGCACCATGCTGATGCTGTAACACAAAGGTGAATAAGATAGTCATTTGATCATAAAACATTAAGAGACTACTCTGTTTACTGGGCATTGTAGTTACAGGGATGAATAAGTCTGTGTCTTTGCCATCAGGACATCTACAACCTGGGAGACAGTGTAAAGGCAAATAAAGGCATCAGTGTAGAAACAGGGTATGAGCATACAGGGGCACAAGGAAGGAGTGGCCTGTTCTGCAGAGGCCCGGGAGAAGCATCACAGAAGAGGCCTAAACTGAATCTAGTTACAGGTTAGGATAAACCCCCAAACAGCTACCACACAAGGCAGAATGCAGCCACCATAGGTAACCCAAGTTCAGAGGGGAGAGGAAATCCATGCGGTTTAGGTGGGTGAAGGAGGGCAGGCAGGAGGGAGGAGGAGGTTAGAAAAGTTGTGCAGGGAATGGCACTGAGATAGGCCTTGAAGGATAAAGAGAGTTGCATGAGAGCCCTGGGTGGCTGAAGAGGCATTCTAGATGGAGGGGCTGCATCAGTAAAGGCACAAAGTGGGGATTATCAGCTGTAGCTGGGAACAGCAGGCAGGCCAGGGAGTGGGGATGGCAAGGCTGGAAGTCAATGCAGCCATCATGATGAGAGCTACTGAGGACAGGGCGGGCCCTGGGCCACATGTGTTACCTACCTCATGTCAGTTCTTGGAGGCAGGTTCTTTTACTATCTACCCTATTTCAAATGAAGAAACAGAGTCTCAGAGAGGTTACAAGGTCACATGGCAGATGAGTAGCAGAAATAGGAATTGACCCAGGTCTGACTGATGCCCCACCCGACCTCCTGACCACTGGAATGGCAGGCAGTGGTGTTACCGAGCCCTTCCCATCTCAGTGTACCTGGCCTGGCATTTGACTTTATAAATGTGGCCACCAAGATGCCACTCTGTTTGTCTTAACCACAGAAGCCAGCTTGACTGGGCTGCTTCCGCTCCAGCAGTGACAGGACTATCAGGATCTCCTTCACTATTCAGAATAGCCGAGGTGGAGTGGGGCAAGGAATATTAGAACTGCTGCAGGTTTTTCTGTGCTCCGTTGTCCACTGCTCTCAGTTTATTGTTGCTGCTACCATGGTGTCGACTGGTCAGTTTCTAGTTCTTCTAGTGTTGCTATTGCCCTGGGGCAGATCACACTGGCTTGACTAGGGTATATGGCTTTTTTGACGCCCAAGTTTGAACTGGACTTTGTAGAGTCGGATGCTATCCAGGTACTGCCGGAGGTTCAAGGACTCCCGTCTCCAGCGCCCCAGCTTTCTGAGCTGATCTGTCATGAACTTTTTCTTCAGGTGGTCATACAAGTGACCCATCTTTTTCTTGGTCTTGTCTGAAGCTTTTGTCTTACAAAAAAAGAGAGGTGAGGTTAGGATGAAGAACACAATTCCACAGCAAAGAATGCATCTGTGCTGCCAGTTGGGGGGGTGGGGGCTGATGTGCCAGCTGGACCCAATATTCTGTAAATAACTTAACTCACAGAGAGCCTCAGTTTCCCTATTTGTAAAACGTGGGTATTGAGCTAGAGAACCCCTATGGTGCCATAATTATTTTAAGCCTGGCAGAGCATCAGAAACATTTCAGTTGCTTGATAAAAATATAGACCCCAGAGAGTCTAGCTTAGTGGGGCTTGAGTGGAAACCAGGAATCTATATTTGTACCATGTACCTGAGATGATTCTGATACAGCCAATGAGAAGTAAGTAGATCCTATTTTACAAAAGACAGAAGAGTCCCTGAGAAAGTGTGATTCACCCAAGGTCCCACAAAGTGGGCCTACACATCTCCCAATTCACGCTATTTCTACTACATCATGCCTCTAAATTTCCTTAGGATGGTACTGGCTGACAGTTGGCAGCCTAGATCCTGACTTTGACCTTACCAGCTCTATTTGAATACTGGTCAGAAAGAGGCAGGTGGGGGAGGGGCTGAAGGGTACATCTTGTTCCTTTCCCAACCCCCAAGCAGAAGAAGTACCCAGGCTCCTACTCTTCATTTAGTCTTTGTGGCCCTTAAGAGGACCGGGCACCATCTTTTAAGCCTCTTTCTCACCCCTTTGCTTTTCATTATCAGAATCCCATGGGCCCATCCAGATTTGGACCTGGAACATGGAAGAAAGCTCAACAGAGCCAAAAAGAGGGCAGTAGGTCAACTCTAAGCTCCTGATCTGCTTAAAGAAATGAGTGAGTTCTTGGAGTCCATTTGTTCTAGTCTCTTCCTAGTGCCCAACACAGTCCCCATCCAAAGCAGGCCCTTCAATTAATTATCAAGCAGGGTCTGTGTGAAGCAGTTGGGTGATGGCACTGTAGTTCCCTTCCCTTTCTTCTGAAGGTCAAACCTTACTTGCCTACAAGCAAGTTCTCATCTGGAAAATGGGGATAATCTCTGAAAGAAAAAGACTAATCACTGATCAACAAGGATAGTACTGATGCTGCTTCAAGCTCTAGAAACCAAGACTTCTTTAGATGGGAGATGGTAAGAATCCATTCATGGGTTCCCTATGGCCAAACAGAGAGGAAATGTGCTCCCTGGCTCCCTCAGCCCAGGAACAGCTGCAGGACTTTGGGCCAGTCAGTAACTCAGAGTCTCAATGACCTCATCTGTAAATGGGGACTGCATTAGAGTATCCTAATGGGTCCCTAGAGCCTCTAACATCTGTGATCTGCCCCCAGAGTCAGTGGCGCAAGTAAAATGAATGTGGGTCAAGCCACTAACACCCTCTAATGCAAAAACTTGTGACTACTTTACCTCCATCTCAAAGATTCGTTGTGCACTGAGGTTGTCACGAATAATCACCCGAGACAAGTGGCTCTTGGGTAAAAATTTTGTTGCCGCTGCTTCACTGGAATTCATTAAGCTGGAGGGGAGATGGGAAGGCGGTACAGGTTGAAGACGGCTGGGTCCAGGGAAGGGTCTGGTTTCATGGCACATAGCTCTGTACTAATTTTCAGAGGAGCAAGGGAGCAAGCAGAGTTTTCTTCTGGTGGAAAAGGTGAGCTAAAGGGGTGTTTCTTGGGTGTTGAGAGGAAAAGCTATCCCGAGAGAGATGTAGAAGGGCCCAGAACGGTCCAAGAGAAGGGTCAACAGGGACTCAGAACTGTCCTCAGGAGCAGTCATCTTAAGGAGAAAATGCAGGATAAGATGGGGTGTGGGTGGGGGGGATGTTAGAGGAGGAAGTCAAAGTTTTAGTGCAGGGTTCAGAGGGATGAATTTGAGGGAGGGCTGAGGGGGGCACTTAAGCCCTGGTGGTGCAGTGGTTAAAGCACTTGGCTGCAGCTGAAAGGTCATCAGTTCAAACCTACCAGCTACTCTGTGGGAGAAAGATGTGGCAGTCTGCTTCTGTAAAGATTTATAGCCTTGGAAACCCTATGGGGCAGTTCTATTCTGTCGTATAGAGTCGTTATGAGTAGGAATCAACTAGACGGCAGTGGGTTTGGGGGGCACTGGCTCCAAAGTCAAGGTCTAAGGGGGATCTGGGTAGGGAGGAATCAGAGGAGGGAATGAAGAGTTTGGACAAAATTTGGGTTTGGAAAAAGTTTAGAAAAGTGAGGGAGTTTTGGGGTTTGAGAAGACTACAGGATGAGGTGAGGGAAGACAGAATGGAGTTAGGTGCTCCAGGTGAAAATAGAGATAACATGAGAAATTAGTCAAAAATAGATACTGTCAGGCAGAGTTGTCATTTTTGATAATTTGGGTTACACCATGGAGTGGTTTTGCAAAAAAAAAAAAAAAAAAACCTCAAACCTATTGCCGTCAAGATGATTCCAACTCACGTACTTTTAAATGCTCTTGCTCATTTTAAAGTAATTTTTCATTCTTTCTAAAATTTTGGAAACTAAGTGTGCAACAATAGGGAAGCAATTGAACAACTGTGGTTAAGTCATACAATAAAATACTATGCACCTATTAAAATTATTATAATAGACATAGACATCTATGGTATATTAAGGAGAGGGGGAAGCAGGATACAAAACAGTGATCATTTTTTGTATTTTTCCAAAAAAAAAAATATATATCAGCCTGTTGTAACACATACGTATGAATGGACCTGGAAGGATATACACCAAATAATGTTAACAGTGATGGTCTCTGGCCAAGTGGGGTGATGTGGGTTAATGACTTTAATTTTGCTTGTTTGTCTTGTCTGATTTTCCTCAATTAAATTGTTTCCTAATCCATTTTCAGCCAGTTTGGAACCACAGGTTCATGAACGTTTTTATAGTTACAAACTGCTAAAAACAAACAAACATCCCAATCTCCCATTTACAGTTTTTCTGACTTCCATGCATGGCAACACCACACAGGCATAAGGTGAGGAAAAAAGCTGAAGTTTAGAAACTAAAATGCTCACACACAAGTCCCAAAAATCTGTTTAAAAAAGACACCTAAAATATTTATATACATTAAACACCTCACTCAGTGGGGAACCAAATTTACGAATTTGGTAAAGAAAAACAATTTGGAAGAAACATACCAATTTGGAAGAAAGGGGGGGAAAAAAGGCAATGCCTGGGAATATTCTCTTTCAAATAATGATCATTTTGAGTCAAATTGCTTCTTCCTGGAAGGCCTCTGTGGGAGCCCGGAGGATACCAAGAGGGGGGTCATCGATGGAAGGTGTGGGGAAATTTGCGGCTTGTGGTGATTGGGGCCCGGCTGAGGGAAAAGGGGACTTTCCCAGTGTCACTGAGGGAAGTAGAGGCTGAGGAGAGGGGTTTCGGGCAAGTTTAAGCCTGAGGGGACCTAGGCTTCGTCAGGCTCTGAGGGGATTCAGGGCTCGCCTCGAAAGGCGCTGGGGACCCCCTGGGCCTGGGAGACTAACGGACCGAAACACTCTCAGAGGAAATGCACGCTTGGGGTGTGAATTCCGCTTCTTCCCGGAGTCTGGGCTAAGGGAATTCGGGCTCCTGAGAACTGGACTAGGAAGGAGCTGGGGCCCAGGTCTGTGAGAAATCCGGCCTCCCTTGGTGGTCGAAGAAGGGACCTGGCTCTGAGGGAACCGCCGCTGTCGGAGAGCCGGGACCGGGAGCTCGAGAGGCCAGGTAATGGACCCCGGGTCTGAGGGAGTTCGGGTTTCCCCAGGAACCCCGGGGTCTAACGAACGCTCTGGACACCCGGGCCGCACCTGAACAGCACCGGCGGCTGTGCGGTCCGTGGCCGCAGGAAACAGATCTGCGGCTGGGCCCTCACGCAGACTTCTTGGCCGCTGCCCTGCGAATCGCGCCGGAAGACGGCCGAGGCCCGGGTGCCTCCGGAACTGGTGGCCGCCTGGGCGGCAGTCGAATAAGCCATAGGCGAGCCCAGGTTCCATGTGACCGAGGGCCTGGACGACTGTCCCTGCGAGTTTTCCGCGCTCGAGTGTAACTCCGGGATGGGAGTCAGGAGGTGTTTGGGGGCAACGAGAGACATGCTCGGTGACTGCACGCGGACGCGGAATGAGTCCCTGGGCTGAATGCTTTCTCTGAGCGCCGCGCGTTGCCCGGGAAACGCGCGAAGGGGCGGGATGCGAGCACGGCGTCCTGGAAGAAGCCAGCGCGGCGGAATTGTCCCTCGGCGGCCGCCGTGGGGCGGGTCGGCGCGTTGCTGTGGAGATGGAGTGGGCCGGACTAAGTGGGCTGGGGCGCGCGGAGCGTACCCTGTTCTTGAGTTGGGTTTCTGTGGCCTGGCGTGCTCGCGGGGCAAGTAACGGGGTGGGAGCCGGGGCGCGGCAACGCTGGGGTGGGAGCCGAGGCTGGTCTTTCTCCGAAGACCTAGCACGACCGATTCTTCCCTGCGGCGAGCGTCCATTGCCATGGAAACCAAACAGCTCGGCGGTCCGGAATTGTGGCTCCGAGATCGTGACCCACCTCCTCTCTCCTAGACTCGCCCGAGACTTCGCGGTGCGGCTGCTTCCTGAACGAACCCGTCCGCCCGTCTGCCGGAGTGTTACCCCGAATCGGTCCAGAGAGGTAAGGTGGTCAGGGTCCCGGGCTGGCGGCAGTTGCTTGTAGCCTGGAGCCGAGATAACACAGCTTGGCGAAGAAGCCCATTCCAACGTGACCTCTAGGAAGCCTACCTGACCCGCCCCCTGGAAATGGCGCCTCGCGCTCGTCAACCAGTGGATTTTGTTCCACGTTTATAAGCCAGTATTTCATGAACGCCCGCGATGTTTGCCGACTTTTCCTACACGTAATGAGACCAGAAAGACCCGATTTGGGGCCCAGCTATGTGGTTCTGCACAAGGCCCTTTCCCCTCCCTGCCTCACTTTCATCCTATGTAAAATAGTTATTAACGCTAGGCACCGGCCTGGGTGGTTTCTTTTGAAGATGGAACCAGGCTGAGGGAAGTCAAGGCTATAGAGTGGTGAAACAGCTGTTGCGCGGTTGCTGTTTCTCCGTTTCCCTCCCCTGCTGCTGAACATTCTTCAGGTCTCTGTGTCACTTCTTTAGACGATCTTTGCAACGCCTTAACTCCAGCTTGAAATAACCATTTACTCTCCACTCCTGCAATGCCCTGCGATTTAACTTCTCTAACAACATCAAGAAGAATGTTGCTGTGTGCTGCCCAGGCCATTCGAACTCATAGCGACCCTATAGGACAGAGTAGAACTGCTTCTGTAGGGTTTTCTAGGTTGTAATCTGTACTGGAGCGGATTGCGAGGTCTTTTCTCCTACAGAGCGGCTGGTGGGTTCAAACTACCGACGTTTCCATTAGCAGCCCAGCACTTAGCCAATGTACCACCAGGGCTCCTAGCAAGAATAGTTATCATTTATAGAGGGAACACTCTGTGCCCCACCATGTGTTAAACACTTTACCTGGATTATCTCATTTAATCTTCACAGCATCCTTGTGAGGTAGGCACTTTTGTACCTATTTTCCAGCTCTATCTAAGCTGTAGTTGCTTGCTTAATGTCTTTCTCCCCAGACTTGACTTTCAGCTGTGTGAAAGAAATGACTGTACTTTCTTGTACTTTTCAGCATCCCCCAAACCTCATACAGCGCCTGGTAAATATTTCTTTACTAGCATGAAAATAACCCCCACTCGTCTGTCAGTTTGTTGTATTGTGGTGGCTTGCGTGTTGCTGTGATACTGGAAGCTATACCACTGGTATTTCAAATACCAGCAGGGTCACCCTTGGTGGACATGTTTCACCTGAGCTCGCTGACTAAGACAGACTAGGAAGAAGGACCTGGTAGTCTACGTCTGAAAAAAATTAGCCAGTGAAAACCTCATGAATAGCAGTGGAACATTGTCTGATACATTTCCAGAAGGTGAACTCCTCAGGTTGGAAGCCACTCAAAAGACAACCGGGGAAGAGCTGCCTCCTCAAAGTAGAGTCGACTTAAATGACATGGATGGAGTCAGGCTTTTGGGACCTTCATTTGCTGATGTAGCATGACTCAAAATGAGAAGAAACAGCTGCAAACATCTATTAATAATAGGAACATAGAACGTATGAAGTGTGAATCTAGGAAAATTACATATTGTCAAAAATGAATTGGAATACATAAATGTCGATATCCCAGGCATTAGTGACCTGAAATGGACTGCTATTGGCCATTTTGAATCAGGCAATCATACGGCCTACTATGCCGGGAATGACAAATTGAAGAGGAATGGCATTGCATTCATTGTCAAAAAGAACATTTCAAGATCTATCCTGAAGTACAGCTCTGTCAGTGATAGAATAATATCCATATGCCTACAAGGAAGACCAGCTAATACAACTATTATTCAGATTTATGCACCATCCACTAAGGCCAAAGATGAAGAAATTGATCTGAAATTGAGCAAACAGAAGTCAACATGCATTGATAATTACTAGTGTTTGGAATGGGAAAATTGGAAACAAGAAGGATCAGTAGTGGGAAAATATGGCCTTGCTGATAGAAATGATGCCAGAGATCTCATGATAGAATTTTTCAAGACCAAAGGCTTCTTCATTGCAAATGCATTTTTTCAACAGCATAAACAGCAACTATACATGTGGACCTGGCCACATGGAATACGCAGGGATCAAATTGACTATATGTGGAAAGAGATGATGGAGAAGCTCAATATCATCAGTCACAACAAGGCCAGGGGCCAACTGTGGAACAGACCATCGATTGCTCATATGCAAGTTCAACTTGAAGCCGAAGAAAATTAAAGAAAGTCCATGAGAGCCAAATATGACCTTGGGTATACCTCACCTAAATTTAGAGACCATCTAAAGAATAGATTGGACGCATTGAACACTAGTGACCAAAGACCGGGCAAGTTGTGGAATGGCATCAAGGACATCATACATGGAAAAGCAAAAGGTCATTAAAAGAAAAGACCAAAATAGATGTCAGAAGAGTCTCTGAAACTTGCTCCTGAACACTGAGTAGCTAAAGGGAACAGAAGAAATGATAAAGTAAAAGAGCTGAACAGAAGATTTCAAAGGGTGGCTTGAGAAGACAAAGTAAAGTATTACAATGAAATGTGCAAAGACCTGGAGTTAGAAAACCAAAAGGGAAGAGCACACTCGGGATGTCTCAAGCTGAAAGAACTGAAGAAAAAAAATCAATCCTCCGGTTTCAATACTGAAGGATTCTATGGGGAAAATACGGAACAACACAAGAAGCATCAAAAGAAGATGGAAGCTATATACAGAGTCACTATACCAAAAAGAATTGGTCAACATTCAGCCATTTCAGAAGGTGGCATATGATCAAGAACCAGTGGTACTGCGGGAAGAAGTCCAAGCTGCACTGAAGGCATTGGCGAAAAACAAGGCTCCAGGAATTGATGGAATGCCACTTGAAATGTGTCAACAAATGGATGTGGCACTGGAGGTGCTCACTCATGTATGCCAAGAAATTTGGAAGACAGATACCTGACCAGCTGACTGGAAGAGATCCATATTTGTACCCATTCCAAAGAAAGGTGATGCAACAGAATGTGGAAATTATTGAACAGTATCAATATCACACGCAAGTAAAATTTTGCTGAAGATCACTCAAAAGTGGTTGCAGCAGTACATCAACAGGGAACTGCCAGAAATTCAAGCCAGATTCAGAAGAGGACATGGAAGGAGGGATATCCTTGCTGATGTCAGATGGCTGAAAGTAGAGAATACCAGAAAAATGGTTACCTGTGTTTTATTGACTATGTAAAGGAATTTGACTGTGTAGATCATTACAAATTATGGCTAACATTGCAAAGAATGGGAATTCCAGGACACTTAATTGTGCTCTTGAGGAAACTGTACATAGACCAAGAGGCAGTCATTCGAATAGGACAAGGGGATACTACATGGTTTAAAGTCAGGAAAGGTGTGCATTAGCGTTGTATCGTCTCACCATGCTTATTCAGTCTGTATGCTGACCAAATAGTCTGAGAAGATAGACTATACGAAGAAGAACACAGCATCAGAATTGAAGGAAGATCATTAACAACCTGTGATATGCAGGTGACACAACCTTGCTTGCTGAAGGTGAAGAGGACTTGAAGCACTTACTGATGAAGATCAAAGACCACAACCTTCAGTATGGATTGCACCTCAACATGAAACAAAAATCCTCACAACTGGACCAATAAACAACACCACGATAAATGGAGAAAAGATTGAAGTTGTCAAGGATTTCATTTTACTTGGATCCACAATCAATGCCCATGGAAGCAGCAGTCAGGAAATCAAATGACGTGTT